AAGGCTACATTTATCACTGCGATTACAAGTCATGGTAGACCAGAAACTAGTATAGTTCTTATTTGCTAATTTGTTTGCCAACTTTTCTTTTATAGTATTTTCTTTTTTTTTTACAGGCATGGCATATTTATATAAAGCTCTAGCATTTTTAAAACGATTGAAGATTGGACCAAATCTTTATTTGTTATAGCTATGCCGTAGACAGAATGCATCTCTAGCAGCCTTATGAGCATCTTTTACATAATTTGTCCAACCTGGCATAGGTTGTTTTTTATTGAAACTTGATTTAGAATGGTTAAGACACAGAAATGAAGATTGAGTAAGACATTCATTCAGTATATTGTACAGGTAGTTATCTGCTTAATGTCCTCATGTGAGTAATGATGAACATTACTGCAGTTAATTACTTCAAACTGATCCATATTATTTAAAGACACCAAGTTAGACACAATAGAAATATACTCTTTTATCATAATGGTTGACAAGGAATTAAAATTTATTTTATGAGATCTTGTCGAAGTAGGGTGAGCAGTTGAGAAGGAAGAGACATCAATTTTAAACAAGATATGAAATTCCAGGGGAAAATGATCAGATAAACTGGTGGACTGAATTATATTGAAGTTAACATACTTTGAGAGACAAGGCAGTGATCAATCCCAGAAGAGGTGCCCCATACTTCACTAGCAAAGGTAAAAGAATCATGTGGTAGACATAAATCAGCTGAGACAAGATCAGAATCGTGGATCATAATTAAAGTCACCCCAGTAATAACAAATTTACCATTTAAATCTGAGATAAGGGCTGAATGACTACCAAGGCATTCAAGATACTTATTAACATTCTTATATGAATCACAAGGCATGTAGACATTGATAATTGTGAATTTATCAGAAAAGTCATTTATAAACTGGATAGCAACAGACCATGAATTATCAGTAGTAATTACTCGAGACCTGCAGGAGAGAGAATCTTCTGTCTTCTGCAGGTCTCCCACAAACAAAAGGTCTGCCACAAACAAAACCTGCTGAAGAAACAGTTGGAGACACTCCAAAGCCATAAAAATCAGTTACAATGTTGTTCAAGAAACTAAGTTCAGTGTTAAGTAGCCAAATTTCTTAGAGACAAATGATATCATATGTGGCAGACAAGAGTAATATTTCATGTGTGGAACTTTGTGCACCACGACAATTAAAGCAACAAATTCTAAATGTCATTCTCAAAGAAAAGACGCAGGAGCACATTATCTGGTCATTTGCTACTGTTGTAGAGCCTGGCAGCATCTCCAGTAGAGACAGATTCTTTGAAAGAAGAGTGATATTTACTTGTAAAGATTTTTAAGCAAGTGGCTTAAGTATTAAATGTTGTGTTGACAAATTCTGCTAATTCCTCAACAGAAGCAGTTGACAATAAACGAGAAATGAGTAGAGAAGTAATTTTAGAGCAATCATAGGAATAAAGTGGTTTTAACGAGACAAATTATTTGGAATTTTTCCAGAACCAATAAGCACTTTTTGCTTTTGCTTTTACTTCAGATAAGTGACAGTGGAAATCAGTAGGGTCTGATACTGGTTGAGAGGTCTCATTAGAAAGAGAATTACCAGGTAGGCAAAAACCATTGTTGTAATCATTAGCGTGATCAACAAATAAGTGAGCATTAGTAATAAAATCCTTTGATACTGAATTTAATACACTTTTGTGAGTTTAAATAGTTGATGAGCTAACTTGAGTTTGAGGGCAAGGATCAGGGAGGATTGATTTAGGAGTCGTAACACTAGCAGTTGGAAGGAATGGCCAGTCATCAACAGAAAGCTGGGTCTTGTTATAAATAAGATTTTGGGTCTATTTGTGCTTTTTGTTAATAGATTTAGAAGGTTTTTCAAAATCCATGAACAAATTATGCAACTTTTCACTGATTGACTCCATGAATAGATTCAAAGAAGATTTTAGCTCAATAGCCATATTATTAAATAGCTCAGTCAGGTAGGAAGCATGGGTATCACATTCAACAGAGTGAGAACTATTGGGATTTATTTTCTATTGTTGGATTGCTTGTAGTATAAAGATTGTGAATATCAACCTGCATGCAGTGTATTTGCTGTGATTTAGTTGAGAATCCCATGTAATCAGTGCCCACAAAAGGAAGGAGAGACAATTCTTTTGCATAGAATTCAGGACATTTTATATTGGTAGCATTGATGGGAGAATTAATGTCAAGCATCAGTCTACAGATATCCTGGACATTTTTTATTTTTTTAACTAGACCTTTATGTTTTGGCAAGCGCTTGGATTCAGTAATCTCTTTAATCAATTTCTATCCTTTAAGACAAAAGGATAGAAAGTGCTATGTCCAATTCCTTCGTCAGTAAAGAAGCAAGGAACAATCTTAACCATTACTTCAAAAGGCAAAAGATTAACTTTATTGAAAGTTATAATAAGTTATAAAACTATTTAACATTTTAAATAGTTTTATAATTTATAGATAATTTATTTCATTATATAATAAAAATACTGAAATTAGCTAAAATGTTTTTTAAAAATAGTAATTTAAAATAAAAATAAATTACGAAAATACGATCGTACAAAGTTCTAAGGTAAAATGTATCATAGTGACATCACAAATATTAGAGAGTAAAGATTCTAGGAGAAAATCCCCCCGGAAAAAATACCCCTGCAAAATGCAAACAATCTAATATTAAAAGATGTAATGGACAAGGAAAACACACATATACCCTTATTGTTGGTATTTATCAAAGAATTCCTGTACCACTAGAAGAAACATCAATTTCACAAGGATTGTTATCCACAATGAGAATATTTTATTTAACAAGCATAAGCTTGTTAAATAAAATTAGTTCGATTTAAAATAAAACTAATACTAAAATAAAACATTTACGTTTAAAAAAAAAATATTTTTTTTAAAGATTTTTTCTAGTAATATTGTTAAAAAGAACTTTTAGCTTCGTAACTTTATTCTATTTGATGGTAAAATTACGACGTAAAAAATAATGTTTAAATAGTTATTTTTTCACTTCATATTGAAAGTAAATGTATTTTAAAAAGTTTAATAAAACTTTTTTAAATGCATTTACAGTCAATAAAAAGTTTATTAAATTTTAAAATTTAGGTATTTTTTGTTTGATTTATCAACTAGTTTTTATTTGACCAGGTTTTGGGATTTTTTTAATATTTTTAATTCTGATTTGAAAGCCAATATTTTTGAAAATTTTTGTCATATCTTTTCTATTTTTATCAAGATGTGGAAAAAAAAAGACTAAAAAGTTAAAAATTTCAACATTCTCATTCTAAATTAGAACACCATTGATTTTTTTTGTGTGTGTTTATACACACACACAACTAACAGGTACACATCTATGCATACACACACATATATACATATATATACACATACTTTAGTTCTCGAACTTCTGTTCTTAGCTGTGATAAGATTTCTTCTTGTTCATTAATGTAAGATCTCTACAGATAAAACATAAATTAATTGAAAATAAATGAAACAAACAAATTCAGTTTTTCCTAGTTTTTTAAAAAAACATACTTACAAACAAAACTTCTTTTTCAGATTTACATTCAACTCTATTTTTTAAAAAACAATAATAAATTTAATACCAATTACATTAAATATTAAAATCATATTTAATGTAATTGGTATTACATTTTAAAATTCTTTAAAAGTCATAAAATAATTCGATTAAGATGCGCTAAAGTGTTTTTAATATTGAAATGCAAAATCTATGTTTTCTTCATTTTCGTATTATAAACATGCTCAAACATACTTAGTAAATAAATCTTTGAAATAGTTGAAGTTAATATAATATATTGGATTAATAAATTAATTTAGTAAATATTTTATATAGCTGAACTATGTTTGATATAAATTTTTATTTCCAGTTTATAAAAGTACATTTTGATTATTTGACTAAAATTTTTGAAAATAATATAAAGTTTCCAAAATAATGAAATTAATTATCATTATTTATTCTATAATAGTAAATTGAAATTATTACAAAGATTATTTTTTATTATATTTTCTATATTTAGAAATTTTTTTCATTGTTCATATATATATATATATGAACAATGAAAAAAAAAAAGAAAAAATATGTATATATAAAATCAAAAATTTATATAAAATGCTTAACAAAAGTTGGACAAATATTACAGGGTAGTCCTGTTGGTTTTCTTTCTATAGGAGGGGGCTACAGGACTAGCACCAAGCTCTTAAAAATTTTTTGTTCCTAACCTAAAATGAAGAATATTTTTTAAACAAGTTTTTTTTTTAAGGGTAATTCTATATCAAATCAGCAGAAAAAACAAAAAATGTCACCCCATTGTTTGAACTTTACTAATTTTTTTTCTGTTATAGGGTTTATAAAAATTAGGAAAATCTGAAATTTGGAACCTCCAACTCCTTACAGTTCTTGACATATTTAGGATTCAGTTTTCTTATTTATGCTGACTCAGCATTTTTTGCAAAATACTTTTTTTGTTGTTAAAGAGCGATATCTTATGAACCAAGTGAGGTATCATCCTGAAACTTTGTACATAGACAATCTTTCACATGATGGATACAAAGATACAAATTAACTTATGATAAAATTAGCTATATCTTAGTTTTACGTTGTAAAAAGTTACTGCTAAAGTCTTTTTTAGGGCAATAATAAATTTATACTTCATTTCTATATTTTTTTGTACCTGGGGAAGGCTCATGGTCTAAAAGGGAGGGGGCAATTAAGCATTTAACCAACTCCTCTTCCCTTTTCTTTCCTTCATTTTTTTTGTTTTTGTTAAAAACATATAGATAAGTGACCAGTTCTTTTTTATAGTTTTAAAACATATAGATAAGTGACCAGTCTTTTTGTTTTTAGCAAAAGCATAGAGAAAAAAAAAAAAGAAAAGTGGTTAGTAAAATGCTTAGTTGCCCCCTCTTCCCATTAGACCATTAGCCATCCCTAGGTGCAAAAAAAAAGTTTTCTTATATTTAGTGTCAAGAAAAAAATTGACTTATGATGAATTGATTTCAAAATGCTGTGGTAAAATAAGCTATAAGATTGGAAGTGATTGGTTGCTATGGGGAAGACATTTAGGCTTAAGTGATTCAGATCTTGATAACATTGGCTCTGATTATAGAAAATGTTATGAGAAAGCTGATTATGTTTTGATAAAGTGGAAGCAAAAAAACGGCAACCCATCATGGGAGCAATTAAAAAAAGAGTTGATAGCTTTTAAGCGTTATGATATAGTAGTTAAAATAGAGAAAAAATTTGGAGGTAAGATTAACTAAACATTAAGATTAACTAAACAGTAAGATTAACTGAACAATGAGATTAACTAAACAGTAAGTTTAACTAAACAATAAGATTAACTAAACAGTAAGATTAACTAAACAGTAAGATTAACTGAACAATGAGATTAACTAAACAGTAAGTTTAACTAAACAATAAGATTAACTAAACAGTAATATTAACTAAACAAAAAGATTAAATAAACAGTAAGATTAAATAAACCGTAAGATTAACTAAACAATAAGATTAACTAAACAGTAAGATTAACTAAACAATGAGATGAACTAAACAGTAAGATTAACTAAACAGTAAGATTAACTAAACAGTAAGATTTACTAAATAATAAGATTAACTAAATACTAAGATTAACTAAACAGTAAAATTAACTAAACAGTAAGATTAACTAAACAGTAAGATTAACTTAACAGTAAGATTAACTAAATAGTAAGATAAACTTAACAGTAAGATTAACTGAACAGTAAGATTAACTAAACAAAAAGATTAACTAAATACTAAGATTAACTAAACAGTAAGATTAACTAAACAGTAAGATTAACTAAACAAAAAGATTAACTAAATACTAAGATTAACTAAACAGTAAGATTAACTAAACAGTAAGATTAACTAAACAGTAAGACTAAGTAAACAGTAAGTTTAACTAAACAATAAGATAAACTAAACAGTAAGATTAACTAAACAATAAGATTAAATAAATACTAAGATTAACTAAACAGTAAAATTAACTAAACAGTAAGATTAACTAAACAGTAAGATTAACTAAATAGTAAGATAAACTTAACAGTAAGATTAACTGAACAGTAAGATTAACTAAACAAAAAGATTAACTAAACAATAAGATTAACTAAACAATAAGATTAACTAAACAATAAGATTAACTAAACAGTAAGATTAACTAAACAATAAGATTAACTAAACAATGAGATTAACTAAACAGTAAGATTAAATAAACAATGAGATTAACTAAACAGTAATAATAGTTTTTATTTTGTTTTTTTTCTTACTGGAATTTGTTTCTCAAGTTTCTTTAAATGTTTTTATTTTGTTGAGTTTTTTAATTTTTAAATAAATTTAAAAAATTTTTTAATTTTAGATTACTTATCTGATTCAGAAAAAATACGGTAATTAAATATCTTTATTATTTATTTTATGTTAATATATGTTTTTATATATTTAATATATAAAAGGTTAGTCAGCAGGCTATTTCATTATGATGTCAGAGCGCTAACCTAAGTGCGCTAAGTTTTTTTAGCTAAGTGCGCAGTAAATGTTATATATATATATATATATATATATATATATATATATATATATATATATATATATATATATATATATGTATATATATTTATATACACATACACACACACACACACACACACACACACACACACACACACACACACACACCAATTTCCATAATATTTGCGTTTATTTGAGACCCAGTTTGATATACCTTTTAATTAAAAAATTCATTTTAAATACAATAAGCAAAAGGTTTAAGGGATCTCCAAGTGCCAAACAAGTCGTGTTCATATTGAAGAAAATTTAAATAACTTACTTTTGACTATATTTTTTTGATTAAAAATAAAAAATATATTAATATTAAAACTGTTTCGGTCAAAGTTGTTTGTTTTAATTTGGTTCTCTGAGTTTTCATAATATATGCCACATACAACACACTTGATAACTTTTTTCATGTGTGTGTAATTCTAATGAGTTTCAGTGTATGACATTTTTGGATTTAAAAATGCACCAAAAATATTGGAACACTTTTAATTGTATTATATTTTGGGTGATTTAGTAAAAAATTGGGGTCACTAAAAATCTTCACTTCAACTATTTTTTTTCTTTTTTTATTTGCATTCACTCCCAACAAGGCTGCAAGCAAACACTATTAAGTTGGGAATTATTAGGAATAAAAGAATAGAGTTATTGAGCAAGGAAACGGTTGACAGAAGAGTTGAAATGTTGTAAATTGTATGAGTCAGTAAAACATGAAGATGGGAGAGAGTTCCAAATGATTGAAGAGTGGGTGAAAAAACTAGATGAGCAAAAGTTTTTTAAGCATGCAGGAACAAATACAGTAAGCGAATGAGACTTAGCTGAATGACAAGTCAAACGAGAATGAGTTTTAGTTGATGGAACTAGAGATGATAACTCCTTTGAGCAGTGACCATAATAGTATTTGTAGAAAAGAGAAAGAAATGCAACTTCATGGCGGTGGGAAAGAGGCTCAAGCTTAGCAGATAGACCGAGTCCAACTACGTTTACAATTGGACCTTGTCTAGAGGAGAAAGAGCATCATTAGAAGAACCAGCCCAGATATGAAAACAGTATTCCATATTGGGACAAATAAGAGATTTGTAGAGGTCGAGAAAAGAATGAGGAGTAAGAACATGGCGAGCACGGTAAAGAATTAGCAACCTTAGCGGAAGCTAATTTAGCAATTGATTGTATGTATGGTTTCCATGGGTTGTCAGGAAAACGAGTCATAAAGTTAACTATTTGAGTAAGAGTTTGAGAAACGCAGAAGTTATAGGCTTTAGTGCCAGCAGGATCAGTGGTGTTAGAGCCAAGCCATTCAGAGTGATAGGCATTAAAGTCACCAATAACAATATTGGCAGAGGGGGAAGGAGAGAGGGCATGGTCAATTTGATCAGAGATAACATCTAAAAGAGTGCAGTCATGGGAAGGAGAGCGATAAAGAACAAAGAAAAAGGTGATAGAGTGAAGAGGTGCTAGGTGGAAGCACATAAAAGAATGGTCAAAGAATTCGTACCTGATTTCACCACAAATAGGGGAATTAATGCATATGTATACCCCCAAGCCTAGCATGTAACTATTGGAGTCTTTGTGAACCAAATGATAGTACTCATCAACAGTGACATCTGAAGAAGAAATTGCAGAATTTAGACTCATTCGTAGATAGAGCACAGCCTCCTAAGTAATGAGCTATGTCGTTGTCACAGTCCTTTTAATTAACCCTAAGTCATGACATAGGGCTCCTTATGTGGTCTCAATAATGCACACCAAAAGCATTAACAGGGATACCATCTATGGGCAACATGGCACTGTTAATACTCTGATATTTTGCAGCTGTTTATGGAATTAGCCTCTCTGAGAGCTACCACAGAGTTCGAGAAGCCTTACTACCAGCCGGTGTCAGGACCATTAAACTTAGTTTTAGAGCTGTACCCTCATAAGGAGATAACAGGAAGAGTTACATAGCCACTATCAAGGATTCAAAAGCAAAAGTCTATGAGTAGATTCTAAAAGATCAAGCATTCATTATCCTAGGCAGGAAACAATGTAACATAGGTTTACATCTATGCCAGCCTAATAGATGAAGAAAGGCTTTGAGGCTGGTTAGCAGAAATTTTCTGTCAACACCGCGCCAGATGTTTAGACAGAACACAAACATACATATGAAGTAGATTACAGATGAGCTAATACAGTAACTAAGGCGCCTCCAACCACTACACCAATACTGGATTCTGTAAATGATTGTACTGAAAATCTAAATAGGCTGTTTAGACTTTGAATACGAAGAAAAATATTTCTGAAACTGTCAAAGCTTGAATTGTTATTTCTCATCTCAATCATGCTGTTTTAAAGCTTATGTATTATCAATAGGCAGTAAATTTGGTATTTTTTACATACCAAAAAATGCATGTGTTGACACACAAAGGTCACTGAATATTGGCTGAGTGTTAGTTAACTAGTTTTGTGTATTTTTATATAAAAATTGTATTAAATTACATTAACCTTTAAAAAATAGTTTAGTTTCTAAACTGTTGTATTTGGAAGTCTGAAATTGCAAATTTAATCTATTCAGATAATTCAAAATATTTATGTTTAAAATAATGATACAAAAAAAAAAAAAATCAAATGTATATAATAAAATATATTTTAGGCATTATCGAATCAAACAATCTGGAAAATGCTGAAAAAGATTATTATGATAGCCTATAAAAAAATTTGCATTTTGAATTAAAAATTAAATGTGATTTTAAAACGCATTTTGCATTGAAAAGAAAATGCTCAAACTCACTATAATCAAAAACTCACTATAACTATAATAAAAAAAAGATACATTAAGTTTTTAAATTAAAAGAAACTGAAGTTTTTAAATTTTTAAATAAAAAAAAACCTGCTTCAAAAAGCCATTATGATTGTGTGTTTAGATTACATCTCTAATGTCACACTGAAATAGCCTGCTGCCAGGCGCTAAACTACATACATGGAATATTTTATAACCTGCTGCCGCAAAGGAGTGCAGCTATATTAACTGAGCATTTATTATGAGGCAGTAATCCTAAAGAGACTAGGAAAGCTCTCTCCGCCTCCATCTAATGCGCAATAAAATCTTTCAGTCATAGCAGTTTACAAGTCAGCCATAGAGCAAGAGGATTAAAAAATGTATTGATTCTTTGACAGTAAGTTATTTGACTCAAGATGGGATGTTGGAAATTTATTGATAAAAGATTTAAAGATCTTGCTAATAATAGACAGAAAACTGATTGAATGATAACTGGAGGGGTCTGAATATTCTCCAGATTTTTTTGAAATTATAACCACAGATGCCATTTTCCAGCAAGCAGGAAAACAAGAACCAGTCAAGCACTAATTAAATAGTTAAGGGAGATTTGAAAGTTTTTGATTTGAGAGCAATTTTGTAAGACTATGACAGGAATGTTGTCAGCACAACAAAACGTAGAAGAATTTAATTGAGATATGACTTTAGCAATGGAAGCTGGAGTGATTTGAATGTCTAACAATGGGTCAACCTGTTTAATCAGAATGGAAGGAAGAAAATGGCTATAAGATTCAAGATTCAAATTAGAAGAAAATATTCTTGGTAAATAATTCAGCCTAATCCTTTGTGCATAAGAAAGCTGCACAAGAAGGTGAAAACTAAGTCTAAGGGCAAAAAATTAGTCTAACAAACAGTTTGGTCAATTTTGCAAAAGGTAAAATTTGCAGATTGTTTGTTAAAGATATATTAAAACAGTTGTTTATCAGAACTTGACTCATTCATAGAGCACGGCATCATAAGAAATGAGCTATGCAAATGTCTCAATCCTGCTAATTAACCCAAAGTTCTATCGTAGGGCTTCTTATGTAGTATCTACAATGCGCACCAAAAGCATTAACAGAGACACCATCCATGTGCAACATTGCACTGTTAATACTCTGACATTTTACAACTGTTAATGAAATCAGCCTCTCTGAAAGCTACCAAAGTATTTGAGAAATCTTACTACCAGCAGGCCTCAAAATCTTTGACTAGAGCCAAATAGATCTAGCATGCATCATCCTATGCAGGAAACAATGTAACGCAGGTTTACATTTACACCAGCAATAGATGAAGATGGGGTCTGAGGCTGGTTAGCAGAATTATTCTGCTTACCCCTTAAGTCTTTGTCTTTGAGGTTTTCTACAAGACAGTAGCTGGATGCAATTATTATCTACCCAAGATGTATAATTTTATCGAGATACCATTTCTTGCATTTACTCAGCCATGAGCCCTAAAGCAGGGGATTTTAAAGTCAGAATTTGTTTTTCCTAGCCTCTGCCTGTAAAAGCAAATCCTACAAGGCAGCGGAGCATGGGGCAGGTTGTACTGGGTTACATGATATCAGTAGCATGGTGATCGTGATGATCCTGAACCTGACCTGACCTGTAGTAGTTAAAAGGAATTACTACCTATAAACATTACTTTAAAATTTTAAGCAAGATATATTAGAAATGCATTAGGAAAAACAAACATTTAACAAAATACAAAAGTTGCTTTAGGTACCTTAATGTTCATCACACTGAATGGCTTGGCTCTGATGTCAATGACTCTGCAGGCATTAAGGCCCACGATTTTTGCTTTTCTTAATCTTTAACACAAATAGTCAACTTTCCATTTCGCTCTCCAGACAATCTGAATTATTTACCTTCTCTACTTGATTTACGGCTTGTTTCCAATCCTAGTCAGTGCTCAGTTTCTTTACATTCACCTTTAAATGCTTCTGATCATGGTTTGGTCTCTCTAAAACTGTTATCTCCTTCATCATTAGGATCCCCCTATCACTGTACCTTTTACAACTGTCTCAGAGCTGATTAGGACTTT